TCGTATGACATCAGGTAGCTGGCAGCAAGCAGGGATCTTGGTTTTCTGTTATATTGCATGAGTTAGCTCAGACTAGATTTCAGGAGATTTATCAGGGTTTCCTAGTTATCTTAGGCAAGATTCTAGGCATGGTTGAGCATAACATGGAATGACTATGACCAAGCACCTTGAATTGTAGAAATTAGTTTTACTTTGTTAAACCTAATGTTTGTTATTTATGACCAGCCCAAGCCCAGTCTGCATTACTATTTAAGGAGGAGCAGAAGCAAGGGAAAGCAAGCACTCACAACAAGAAAAATTTGAGTGTAGAATTAGGGTTTTGAGAGTCTTTGTGTGACTTTGTAAGTCACCCTTTGTATCTTTTGATACATTGTGGTAGACATATTTGTAAGTGAAGAACTCTGTTCTTCACGTGTGTTTAGGAGTCTTAGGATTCCTTGTGTGCCAAACAATTGTCTGCTGTATAATTGCATTGGCTTAGTGTGTATGAACTATTGTGTTCATTGTGTTACTCAGAGCTTTTAAGCAAGAGTGTATTGTCCTTGATTGAATCTGTTAAGCAAAATCCAGTATTGTGACTTTGAAGTGTGCCTTCTAAAGTCTTATTATGTATTGAATTGTTTATCACTGCGGTGATTGTGGGGAGTGAGTGGGTATACTCATGTCTAGAGTGTCTCTAGGAAGAAGTGTCATTGGGTAGAGATTAAGTGAGGGATTGTAAATGGGGGAGTTTAGCTCTGAATTAATTCTTCTAAGAATGGATTTCCTTCCTGGCTTGGTAGCCCCCAGATGTAGGTGATGTTGCACCAAACTGGGTTAATAATTCATTGTGTTATTTATCTTTCAACATTTACCATTCTGCACAACTTAAATGATGAGATAAATAGTTTTGTTAGTCTGTTGATGTTATAACAGACGTCATGCCATTGATCATGACATTGGTACAATTTATAGGAATTTAAATTGGTCATGGTCTGCTCTAGTTCTGTTTTGGCAGAGATCAACGTTCTTGAAACATCTGAATCTGCATACCAGAATTTCAATATCATACTTCATTTCTCTTGAATTGCCCTATCTCTTCTTGCATGGCATTGATTCAGAATTCATCAGTTAATGCTTTTTTAACATTTTTTGGTTCAATTTTAGACACAAAGCAAGAGTTAGGTATGACTGCTCTGGATCTAGAAGTCACCCTCTTATTTATATCACCTATGATAAGATCCACAAGATGCTCTTTCTGAATTCTGGTAGAGGGTCCCTTATTTATTAGTTCAGGTTCAAGTTCTGTGTTAGTAGGATTGGGATCAGTACCTTTATCTGTAGACTCAACTGAGGTATCAAAGGATGTTTCAACATCTTCTGGGACATCAGTCTCCTTATAAACATTATCAACAACAACATTGATGGATTCCATCATGGTCTTAGTTCTGGAGTTGAATACTCTATAGGCTCTGTTGTTAGTAGAATAACCCAAAATTATCCCTTCATCACTTTTTGGATCCATCTTTCTTCTTTGGTCACGATCTGCCAATATGTAGCATTTTCTTCCAAACACATGAAAGTATTTGACAATAGGCTTTCTTCCCTTCCATATTTCATACAAGGTGGTCATGGTTCCTGTTCTTAAGGTCACTCTATTATGAATGTAGTAGGCAATGTTCATAGCTTCAACTCAAAAGTGGTAAGGTAGTTTCTTAGCATGGATCATAGCTCTGGCAGATTCCTAGATGGTTCTATTCTTTCTTTCCACAAATCCATTTTGCTGTGGGGGTAATGAGAGAAGAGAATTCATGACTAATCCCTTCAGATGAGCAAAATTCAGCAAATTTTTTATTCTCAAATTCTTTCCCATGATCACTTCTAATTCTAACAACATTGCTCTCCTTTTCTCTTTGAATTCTTTAACAGAGATCTTAGAACACATCAAACACTTCAGATTTTTCTTTTATAAAATTTATCCAAGTATATCTGGAGAAATCATCCACCACCACATAGACATACTTCTTTCCACCAAGACTCTCCACCTGCATAGGTCCTATTAGGTTCATATGAAGGAGTTCCAACACTTTTGAAGTACTGAGATGTTTAATCTTCTGGTGTGACATCTTAGTTTGCTTTCTAATTTTGCATTCACCACATTCTTTTCCTTCTTCAATCTTTAGCTTAGGAATTCCTCTGACAACTTCCATAGAGATGATCTTCTTCATTCCTTTTAGATGTAAGTGACTAAGCTTTTGGTGCCACAGTTTTACTTCATCTTCTTTGGCTAGACCACATTTAGAATCTTGAGTAACCCATAAATAGCAGTTATCCTTAGATCTAATTCCCTTCATAATCACTTCACTCTTTTCATTTTTAATCAAACATTCAGATTTAGTGAAGTTGACATTGAGTCCTTGATCACACAGTTGATTGATGCTGATCAAGTTGGCAGTTAATCATTTAAACAACAACACATTGTCAAGGTTTGGAACTCTAGACTAGTTCAATTTTCCAACCACCTTGATTTCACCCTTGGCTTCATCACCAAAAGTCACATAGCTGGTAGAATGAGATTTAATGTCAAAGTACCAATCTTCCTTAGCTGAGACTTTGAGAGATATATGAGCTATCAAACTAGTGGTAGCAACTTTAGGGACCCATTTCTTCTTATTAGGAGGAGAGTTGTGATTGGGTCTATATTGAGGAATATGTTTAGGATATCCATGCAGTCTGAAGCATAAAGGTTTTATGTGACCAAAGTGTCCACAGTAGTGACATCTCCATCTTTGGAACCTTTCTCTTGGGTGGTTGGGCTATCCTTTGTCATGATATTGAGATATCTGATGTGACATATTTTGCTTAGGCCCAGAGGGATTGTGATGTGAAGAGGGATTACAGTCTGAAGATGGTTTCATTTCTTTATCAAATCCTAACCCAGTCATGTCTCCTGCTCTTTTTCCATTCTGAAGGATTTCATCAAGAGTGTTAGTACCACAGTTCAGCATTTTGACAGGCTTGGACATTTGATCGAGTTTGGAATTCAGCAATGTAACTTTATTGTTCAAATCAGAGATAGTTTTGAGGTGTTCTTCCTTTTCAACTTTCAGTCTGATTATAAGTTTCTTCTTCTTCTCTCCTTGCTGACATACTTCTTCACTTTTAAAACACAACTCTTTGAAGGAGGATGCAAGTTCTTCAAAGATTAATTCATCATCACTGGAATCTTCATCAGAGTTATATCTCCTAGTTAAAGAAATCACATGTTTAGCAGATTCTTCTTCAAGATTACTTTCAGAATCCTCATCAGATTCTTCTTGAGGTAAGTAGGGCATTTAGCTCTAATATGACCAAATCCTTCACATCCATGGCACTGAACCCCTTTGCTTTGAGTGGATTTTTCTTCAGACCTTGTTCTTCTACTAACATCATTAGACTTCCTGGTGTCATATGAGTTGTTCTTGACATTTGGTCTCGACTTTATATCCATCCTCTTTATTACCTTGTTAAACTGTCTTCCAAGGAGCACTATAGCCTTTGATAAGCTTTCATCAGTATCCTCACCTAGATGTATGAATTGGACTGAGTTTTTGTTAATTGTGAGCCATTCACTCATCACCTAGATGTGTGAATTGGGCTGAGTTTTTTGAGTGAAAGCTTAGAGTGGACAACTTACAACTCAACAAACTCAGGCCAATTCACACATCTAGGTGATGAGTGAATGGCTCATAATTAACAAAAACAACCGAAGCTAAAACAACATTGCACTAACTTAACCCTAGCTTCTCTACTTTTCCAATAGGATTACAAAACCTATTTATAGAATTCTTGTACGGGCTTGGGCTGTAGCTTAACTACTTCTGATTTTATAAAATCAAATCAGATATTTCTTCAAATCTTTTCATTATTAAGCATCAAGGAATTAGAACCAAATCATATTTGATCAAATCAAATCAAAAATCTCTTCAAGATCTTCGGCATGAAAAAGGAACAAAAGAATTCACATTTCCTCATGAATTAGTTATCTGAATCTCTTTTGATTAATGAAGATCTTCACGGTGATTTCTTTCAGAAAAACTCTTATCAACAAGGCATAAAAACGTAACAGACACAAGCATAACATTCTTACTAAAAGTTCTGTTTACTGATGTCACAATATCATACCCGACATCATGAAAACAATCCCTGCAGTATTCAGAAAAACTACCTGTAGAAATTTAAGATCCTATGTCAAGACATCCTATAGAATATCTTGTGCAAACACCAGGTTTTAGCAAAAATTGCTGCCAATCAAAGAACTAACATAAGTTAATCTTATATTCCAATAAAATGCATACTTCCTTCTCTTTTTTTCTCTCTCAAAATCCATAATATGCCTAATAATAAACAAATATATTCAATCTTTCATTATCATATTTATAGAAATCATACATTAATAATAAAAAATTCAGGTAATAAATAATTAAAATAATAATTTAGTAATAAAAAAAATTCAATGTAATGAGTCAAAATATTTCACTAATAACAAAATGGAAGATGGATTGCATCATGTATTTGTTTAGTAGAAATGATGACTAACGTTTCTTACTCCTTGAACTAAAACACAATTATTTTAATTTAAATCATAATAATATAAAAGATAAAAAATAATTTTTGATTATATAGTAAAAATATAAATAAAAAAAAATATCATTAGTTATAAACTATAAGCTCAAAAACTATTTTAAATAGCTTTAAAAAAAAACTAAAAACTAAAACTTAAAAGCTAAAAAACAGTTATCAACAATTTTTTTTATTAAATAAATTGAAAAATTATAAACTAAAAACCAAAAATTATTTTTTATGTCTTACCAATTAGACTCTTACTCTTAGTCAACCTTAGAAAAGAAAATACACTGTTTTTTTAGGAGAAAGGAATTAGCTCTTGCTCTTCATTCCCAACTCATTTGAAAATAGAAACTGATTTAACAAACAGCATAACAACATGCAAAATTACAACATACAAATACAAATAAATTTCTCTAGATCGGAAGCCTCTTAACTCCGGATGACTCCAAATGGTGATCTGAAATTTCAACATTTCCTTTGGGAAACAATTTTTGTATCCTTGTTGAAATCATTTGATATATCTCTTTTCCATTTTTATAGCACACCAAACCAACGACCAAGAAGATCCACAAGGTCAAATAAATCCAACCAATTATACGCGAAATAATCATCAAACCTAAAAGTGAAATAAGAGCTCCAAGAAAAAGAAAAAGATTAACCAAGATCATGAATGGAACATGAAGCTGCAACGCTTTGACAATCACCAAAACCATGAAGTAAAGAGTAACCATGAAAGCCAGAACCATAATTAGTAGAGACTTTTCGTTGTTTGTTGTATACCTTGACGCAACTCCGATTATTGCAAACAATAGTCCAAAATATTGGCCAAGTGATTCTCTAACCTCTTTCAATCTACAAAGGGTAACGAAATGTTAGACATGCATGGAAATGATAACAATATATATTCTAGGTTTCAGTACTGAGTAGAACAGAAAGTACCGTGTTGAGTCTGATGAAGTTGTATCTGCAGGTGTAGAGTCCGACGAAGTTGTATTCGCAGGTGTAGAATCTGATGAAGTTGTATTTGCAGGTGTAGCTACTTCAATCATCATTCTTCTAACCCAACCTGCAAAGATGATAGAGAGAAAAATGAGGAGAGAGTTATAGGTACTGCTTTGAGTTGGAAATGAAGAGCAAGAGGTAGTTCCTTTATATAGTTGAAGAAGAGCAAGAGCTAATTCCTTTATATAGTTGAGGAAGAGCAAGAATTGGATAAGAAGCAAGACCTACTTCATAATTCCGCGTAACAAAGATTCTCCACCTGTTTACGAGTATCAATCGCTCTCTCAAAAAAAAACAAAAGAATTATAGTAGTAAGAGTTGGATAAGAATTGATTTGACACTCTCTTAAACAGAACCTTCATAGTGGAACTACTAAAATGTTAGTTGCGTATTTGAAAGAACCATATGTGTGTAAGTAAAAAGACCCTTGTCTATGGTCCAAAACACATGTGGCGTATATACAGTGGAGCTTAAAGAGGTCACCGCTCTCCTAAAAAAACAGTGTCTTTTCTTCTCTAAGGTATAAAACTGATTCTGCTGTATAGTTGAGACGCGTATTCACAATATCATGGATCTATTTTTTCTAATTCAACACATCTTATGATGAATAACGACATAATTTGACAGCGATATTCCTTTACAGATTAACTAGAACTAACAATACTATATACTTGACAAATGTTGAGGCACTAGTACAATACAACAACCCTGCAGTTAAGGGTTAATGAAGATGATTCTTAGATCGTTTAGATCATTTTTATTGTATATTGGATGGTGGCATGCTAATGTGTGTGTGTGATGATACTTATGATGATGAATGACATGCTACTATTTTGATACAAGCTTGCAATATGCTGCTATTATATTGATACTAGATATTAAATTTGATTATTCTGATAATTTGTCATGGGTTTGAGAGTAGAAAGAATTACTAGAATAAGTTATAAATATTTCAAATAAGTAATTTTAACCCTTAAGTATTAATACTTAAATTATTAAGGCTCGACTTAAAATTAAAGTATTAACCCTTGACTCCTAATTATCAAATTCAATCCTAAAATTAGCATTTTAGTTAATTAAATTAAATTCTAATTATACTCATGTTAAGCTACAATAGTAATTGGGCATTGGGTGGGATTGGAAATAGAAAATGAAAAAGGGCCAAGAATGCCTCAGGCCCGGTCTGGGAGAGTGGGTTTACATAAAGAGAGTCTATGTTTGATTTTCTATAGAGTGCATGATCACCATCAAATGGGCACAATCATAAATCAATCCATGTGTTCAAATGTAAACGAAACAGATGGTCATGATAGGAAGTTAACAAAGGTCCATGGTGGATGGCCAACGTAGGATCATTGGTTGACTAGCAAAGTCAACAGATCTGACCACCATGAGATGAGCTATTTGGTGCTCACCTGGGCAATATGTAGAGGGAGTATATGAGATGAGGTTCTTTAGACCTCTCTCATTTCACAACTTTCACTCTCTCTCTCTCTCTCTCTCTCTCTCTCTCTCTCTCTCTTTCTCTCTCTCTCTCTCTCTCTCTCTCTCTCTCTCTCCTCCCTTAGGGTTAAGCCTCCACCCTCCCCAAACCACTAACGTTGCCCTTAGAACCACCTCTCTCCCAGTTTCCGATTGAAGTTCAATCGAAAACTTCAAATATTTAAAACCTCAACCCAAATTCCACCATGTTTTTCAAGGTTCAAGAGGAATCCTAAGGGTCTGTTTGGATTGATGGAAAGGAATGGAATGGAATGGAGTGGAGTTATGTTCTATTGTTTGGATTTACAAAAATAGAATGGAATAAAATGGAGTATGATGGAACACATTCCATCTAATACCACTATTTTGGCCCATTTATCATTTCCCCCAAATTGGGGTGTATCCAGTGGAACAGAATCACTTAATAAAACAATTACAATTTTATCCTCCAAATTTTCACTTTTATTATTAACCGTTCATATTCCTTATTTCAATCGACGTGATATTTTTCTATTCATCCACGGCAACTTTTCTCCTTCACAGGCCTTCTTCTTGCTTGCAAAGAGTCTATCTTTCTTCTATCCTAACAAGGTACATCATGTTTCTTCTCATTTTTTTACCTATATTTATATGTGCGCTCTATTAAATTAAATATCTTGATTTATCTTCATGTTCATGTCTTTTTCATTTTTCAGAAATTAGGTATAGTTACTAAAAACAAAACCTAAAATTATGATTTATGTTGCTTTATAGTGTTTTGTTTGTTTAATTAACTTTTTATTAAGAACAAAAGTAGAAATTAGATTTGTTGCAAAACTACTTTTCATGTTGCTTTTCACTACTATTCACGTTGATTGTATTTTTATTATGTAGAGAGAAAAACTAAAATTAGTTACTGTAACATAAAATTGGCTAATAATATTATGTAGTATAATAGGAAAATATTTATTAGTAACATAAGTTTTGATTTGCTATAAAGATTCTTAATTAATTTTTGATTGAAATTATTTATTTGATTTGTTTTAAAAGTTCTTAATCTATTTGTTCTGATTTTGATATGATTTATTTTATTTGTTATAAATAGTTTAATTTGATTTATTTGTATATGGATTTATAATTAGATTAAATTTTACTGTTTAATTTGTTATAGATGACTAACGAAGACATAAGAATCAAGTATATGAAATTGCTTCAAATGATGATTCTTCAAGTATCTATCATTATTGTTCTAATATGTTCGCTAAAAAGCAAGCGTAGAAGATCCCAAGTACCTTATAGAATCACAGAGTAAAGAGAGAAAGTTAGAAATGAGTTGATGAAACATATTGTAGGAAGTGAGCGATTTTATGATATCATTCGTATGGGTCCCAAAGCTTTCTTAAACTTGTGCACCTTATTACAAGATCAAGGTGGACTTACACATACACGAAGAACGTCTATCAAAGAACAAGTAGCAAAGTTTCTTTATATAGTAGGACATAATGTTAGAAAACGTGTGATGTCTGTCACACCCTAATTTTTGACCATAAGATCCTGCTTCCTTGTGCTTATTTTATTTATTTATTTATTATTATTTATTTAATTTTGTGAGTATGATTAGTATGGCTAACCAACATATGCAGATGCAGTAATTTCAAATGGAGATAATACTCATTCTCACAGTCAAGCACTGCGGGACGCGACCAGTGGATTCTAATTCATTTGGTTTTAAGATCCTTGAGCATCCTCTTGTCAAGAAGGTCAACATTAGGCTCTTCAGGACTTCTCAGAAGTTGTCATTTTAGCATGGTCGTTGGAGAACTAATTGTGTTTTAAGAGTTGGGCCAACACTTGAGTTTCTTTTGGTTATAATGGAAAGATTTGGTTTTCTTTCTCCTCGTTAGTGATTTATGGTTAGTGTGTTCTGAAATGAATTCAAGGAAGCTTTTGCGTCGTGTTTCAATGTTGATATTCAAGAAATACAAACTTATTTTAAGGAGAACACAAGGCTAAAGGATTTCGTTCGAGTCCAGGCGGAGTTTAAAGTAAAGGATACAAGAACGTCAAAATTGTCATGAGGCGCGGGTATCCAAATTTTCATCAAATTGCATTCTTAGCAAGGCTTTACCATGCAAATTCACCATAAAAAAGCTTAAGTTACAAAGAGACTTCGTTTACATCATTTTTTAATCCTAAGATCTTAATTTAAGATGGGTGGATGAAGTAACACAAGGTAGTCAAAAGGATTTATTATGGAAGAAAGATATCACGAATCCACTCACATAATTGTTAGTGGCTGAGGGAAGGGTAATAAATTCATTACCATCACCATCATAGAAAGCTTCATTAGAATATTGAATTTCCTTCAATAATTGTTGTACACATCGTAGAATGACAAGGCAATGCTACTTACATCCTTACTAACAACATATAAATCGTACCGTTTTTTTTTGTAGAAAGCAACTAGAATTATGAGCTTTTACAATGGTAAATGTTTACATGTTAAGGTTACAAGAATTTGAAATGTAAAGCTAAGCCATTTCTTCATTGACAGACCGCGTCCTCGATCTGCATTTGTGAAATGAAATGTCCTTTGTGTGAGCTTCCGCAAACGCCAACATATCTTCCCGCCATCCGGACTCGAGAGTACACGATAAGTTTCGTCGAGGCCATGGTGATTTTTCCCTCTGGGAATTTCCGTAGCACGTTTCAGGCTCCTTACCATTAACACACAGAACAAAAAGGAATGGTTAGGAAACTTTGCCTTCGTAACATCAAGGCTAATTAGAAGAAGAACATATGTGCATTAAAGAGGAAATTCTAACCACATAGAGATGTAAAACAGACCTTCAAATGGCGATGCCTCCCAGCAATACCGACTTTTGTGTTCGCCCAATCAAAGTTCTTTAGGAAGTGACAGAAGATGCCATTTCCCTACATTAAATTGACGGCTGTTATAACTGCAAATAACCTTGAATCATCCATACCAAAGGAAAACAAGTTGCAATGCCACTTTCCCACAAAAATCTTCAAGCTGCTATTGCTACTTCGCACTACCAGCCAAACCACCACGGTATGTCGACTTTAGGCGCACCTCATGAAGGCATAAAACTAACAACATGCATAACAAGAACTTTACATTAGTATTATCACAACAATATCCAAAAAGTGTCAAAGCTAAGTGACTAATTAAACAATGAAGGTTCCATGTAACGCTCATTTTAATTATTTTTAGTTTCGGTGTTATTTTATTCCACTACGCCAAAATTGATATTTTGTAGCGCCTAATTTAATAGCGCTTTTAAAGAAAGTGCTATTAAAAAGGAAACAAACACATCTATAATAGCACTTTGTAAAAAAATTCTATTATTAAACTTCATTAAGATAGCGCTTTCTTAAAAGCGCTATTAATATTCTTCACTAAGATAGCACTTTTAAAGAAAGTGCTATTAAAAAGGAAACAAACACATCTATAATAGCACTTTGTAAAATAATGTTATTATTAAACTTCACTAAGATAGCGCTTTCTTAAAAGCGCTATTAATATTCTTCACTAAGATAGCGCTTTCTTAAAAACGCTACTAAAAGTGTTCACTATAATAGCACTTTTCAAAAAAATGCTATTATTAGGGATTTGAATTTGAAGATAATAAAACATGAGTTGAGCCCAGTAGAATATTACAATAATAAAATGGAAATGCAAAAAACAAAAACTGGTAAACGATGAAGTGTGAAACAGAACAAGGTTCTCTCTCTATGAAACGGTTCAAAACTCTCTCACTCACTCCATTTTGGGTCTCTTTCTCAGGTTTTCTCTTCTAATCCTCATTTCTTTCTGGATCTGCCATGATTTGTTTCGAATGATTTTTCCTCTTCTACTTTCAATTTTGTTTTGGTTTGTGCGGTGAATGATTGTTGTGGCTGATGTGATTTTGAATGATTCTGTGAGTAGGTTTTGAGTTAAGGTTAAGTTGAAGGTTGTTGAAGGTTTGTGAAGGAAGGTTGAGGATGAACGACGAGGAAGGAAATGAGGCAAAAGAGAGGTTTACGGGTCGTTCTTAGTAGAGTTTCTTGTTCTCCCTTTTCTGTGTTGAATTTCTGGAATCGATCTTGGGATGAAGGTTAGTTTTGTGAAATAAAATTTGGGGTTGAAGGAGGATCTACGGTGAAGCCGCCCCCATGGAGTTTCGGAGAATGATATTTTATAGAGGGCAAAGGGGTAAAATAGGAAAAGTCCAGGACCTCTGAGCTGGAAATTATTGGCTTCCTGTTCAAATACGTAGCGATCTTTGCACGTTTTGTATGATATGTCGTTATTACTTTTCACGTTATAACATGAGCTGAGTTTTCATGGTTTAAGTACTTTTATTTTGTAGGATGTGGCTTGATGGATGTAGCATATGAAGAAGCTTAAGAAGTCAGAGATGCTTCGCCGAGGCCAGGTACTGAAATCATCAAGGCCTCCTCAGATTGTTAATGTGAATTGTGCCCTGTTATACTCGTCGGTAAATTTTACATCCTTGTCTAGGTTGAACATGTAAAAGCAGAGAGGGACCTACTTGCAGAAGTTGACAGCAATTACATTGTAAAGCTTTATTGTTCCTTTCAAGACGAAGATTGTTTATATCTTATAATGGAGTATCTTCCTGGTGGCGATATGATGACATTACTCATGCGAAAGGATATACTGACAGAATATGAGGCCAGGTTCTATGTTGGGGAGACTGTGCTAGCTATAGAGTCGATTCATAAACATTATTATATTCATAGGTAAGCTCAAGCAGTAAATAATAACGTTACATTGTGGAAGTTATATTATAATAATCTTAAGTTGTTCTTATTTTCTTGTGCATTAAAAAAGAAATGATATTCTGATTTAATATGGCTTCCAGAGATATCAAGCCTGATAACTTGCTGCTAGATAGACATGGTCACATGAAGTTATCAGACTTTGGATTATGTAAAAGACTAGACTGCAGTAATCTTCAGGAAAAGGACTTCTCTACTGGAATCAACAGAAGTGGAGCTCTTTAGAGCAATGGACAACCTGTGGCTCCTAAAAGGACTCAGCAGGAGCAGCTGCTGCATTGGCAGAAAAATAGGCGAATGCTTGTAAGTCACATCATATTTACATAAGTAGGCGTGGCTGTTTTCTTCCTTATGAATTTTTAGATTAACAGTTCTTTTTATTACTTCCCTGTTAACTAACAAACTATGTGCATTCTATATTGTTATTTATTATAATTCTTCACTGTGCATATGAATCTGATGACTTTTTGTTCCGAATTCTATTTGAAGAATTCTTTATTGTGCATATGAATTCTATTAGAAACTTTCTTATGGCATCATATTTGAAGAATCTCTAGCTTTCAATAAAAGCGGAGTCGGGCTATTGATGGTTGTAAGCTTATGGGTGATACGAAGTATTGGGGTAAATGTCTATCCATCTTATACATGTCTTTACTTTTGAGAATGTCAGTTAATGCTTTATTGGTGAAGAGCTTTATGGTAGCATAGTTATTGATTGATTTAAACTTTATGGTAGTGTATTTATGATTGGCTTGAACTTAAGGTTAAGGGTGCCTCAGTAATCCAGTAAAGACCAAAATTTGTGTTTAATTTATTAGTACTGTTATTACAAAGCTATGGAATATGGTTCTCATATACTAAGGGGTTAATTTTGGTAATAGGATTTGACATCAGAATTTGGAACTTGTGATCCCTTATGTTCAGTTGATGAAACAAGCTCGCAAGATTTCAAAGACAACTATCAGCCCAAGACTGATTTGCTTAAAGCAGTTGCGGTATTTGCGGCGGCTGCAACTGGGATAGTAGCAATTAACCATTCTTGGGTGGCTGCTAATCAGGTTAGGTATTGTCATTTTACCTGATTTCACTTCTGCTAAGTTTCACAATGAGTTACATGCATTTGTAGAAAAATCTTTGAGTATGATATATTCTGAAAGTTGAAAGTTCTATGTGATTTCTTGTGGCAGGATCTTGCTATGGCATTACTATTTGTAATAGGATATGCATGCATCATATTTTAAGAATCTCTAGCTTTCAATAAAAGCGGAGTCGGGCTATTAATGGCTTTAAGCTTATGGGTGATACAGAGTATTGGGGTAAATGTCTATCCATCTTATACATGTCTTTACTTTTGAGAATGCCAGTTAATGCTTGATTGGTGAAGAGCTTTATGGTAGCATAGTTATTGATTGATTTGAACTTTATGGTAGTGTATTTATGATTGGCTTGAACTTAATGGTAGTTTTTTGCAAATGGTTTAGAACTTAGAAAAGTAGAGAAAAGAGCTCTATGATTGGTGTATATTAATATTAATAGTATAATAAAATAGGATAAAAGGTAGAAAAAGGGTATATTTTGGTTTCACTGAAAAGTGTGGAACCAAAGAGAATAGAAAAAATACTTCTAGTGTGCTCATTGTCTTGCTTGTGATATAGTTAGGCTACAATACTTTTTTCCTAAACTTTCTGCTTATTATAGGTATGTCTTCTTCTACAGCTTAGTAATATCATCATGAGATCTCACATTGACAGCAGAACTAACAAAAGAAGCAAGGTGTTCTCTTTCAGCTCCCATTGCTTCAGCAGCTTCAACACACTGAGCAACAATAAGTGTTGCTGTAGAAGCCACAACCATATCAGTCTTAGCCATAGCAGCAAAGGCAGATGCTACTGCTGCTACCGAAATAGCAGCATGAACTTGAGCATTATGGCTTCTGTTTTATGTTATACCATAGTCTTGTATGTTAATTTTAAAATGTATCATGTTAATATTAGTGGTTCTGTCCTTAATATGTTGATTGTTGTCTGCTTAGGGAATTGCATGCTGAAATAGGTGGATTTGCTGAAATTGCAGGCTGCTTAGGGAATTTAAAAAGATCAGAAAAGCAGGTTGTGTATATATTTTGTTAAATAAATTTTTTTTATCTATTCAGGGCCTTCTCTTTTGTGTAGGATACTTTCTTTTCAACTCTTCATTTCATCTATGCACAATGAAGGTATACAACTATACACAATGAACAAATTATAATGGTTTTGACTCTTTCGTAAACATCTTTTTGCAGGTAGGGAATCCATCATTTCATCTAGCTATTGTTTTAGCAGGATGTGCTGTGGTATCAATAGCTGATAGCTTTGCACCAAAATAAATTGCAACTCGCCTCTGTGTTTCCAATTCAAAGGGTATTTTCACACAGGTTATACTCTAAATTTGGTACTGTGTGTATGACTATAACTCTAAAGCTACAGTTGATGGAAGCGGAAATATTCAATGTTTGGGCTTATTTTTGTTGTTTCGTATGATAGTAGTATTCAATAGTTGGAACTGTCAACTTGCGGAGAAGACTAGACATTATCTTCGACTTCAGAAGGAGGTATATGCCCGTATAATATATGCTTAAGTGAAGAGATTTTATAGTTACTTGATATTTTAAATAATATGGATTAGAGTTTGAACATTGATGTTATACCAGTTTGCTCAAGTTGAGGGCCTGTTATACCAGTTTGCTGTTATACCAGTTTGATGTTATACCACTTTTCCTAAATATTTTTTAATGAAATATTTTTTATACCACTAATTTAAACAACAATATTTGTCATATTATACCAGTTTGCAGTTATACCAGTTCCATGTTATACCACTTTTCCTGTTATACCAGTTTGCTGCTATAACAGGAAGTTTAGGGCCTGATGCATGACCTTGGGGCTTCTTTGGAGGCTACATCTCCTAGTGTGGTCGCTGCGTGACGAAGAAGCGTCCGCTTGCGTACATTAGGTTTTGTTTCTTATACACAGTTTAATTGTTGTTCTTGTGTCAACAGATTGTTAACATTAGGCCTTGACTTGTTTTGGACAGGTTTTCTTGATGTTGGTTCTTCGCCAGGTGACGACAACGAGATGGTCTTGGTTCTTCGCCAGGTTTACATGTTAACATATTTGATTGTCCTTTATTTCTTGACAAGAAAAAAATGTTGAGTTGCTATTCAAAAGTATTTGTGTGTTTTGGTTCATGGAGCTTGCTTTAAACATTGGTTTCAGGATGAAGTTGAGGAACAGGAGTATATTTGGCCTCTTTTGAGTATGATGTGAGGAGTTGCCGATGTTTGATGGTGTGTTAGCGGACTTTCCATTTTAAACTGAATATGTCTAAAGGTGTTTTTGGAACGAATTTGATCCTATCTTGAGATTTTAATGAACTTTATTATTTGATTTCTGTTTTGACAAGTTTCCAAGAGCTTTTGGCATACATCATTTTGCCAAAGGTGCCATAATTTGTATCTGATAGACTGGTTAGTGAATCATCCTTGTTAAGCAACTTAGGAGTATTATATGAAATGAGTACGATAAACTCGAGATGTGCATTACTGCAACAAGTGATTTTGGTGAATTGATAATGGTAAGAATTGAAACATATCCCTCTCGTTTTGAAATCAGGTTGGTTGATGATTCTACATTCATATGCCTAAGTCACAATATCACTAATTCATCCCTTTTGTTATCAATTTTGATCCCGATAATAGTGTATCCTTGATCGCAGGTGTATGCAGGTGAAAAGGATTGTCGTTCGTCTCAATTCCTGCCTTGGTTCCAATCATATTGATTATCAGATACTATTTTTTTTTTAATTTTGCAGTGGATGGCCGAGTCCTCTCAGGTATGGAGTTTGCTTTGTAAATTATTTTAGACTCTTACTACCATTACTGCTAACCATGTAGTTGTTTAATTATTATCTTCAGAAATTATCTTGAAGCAGCATGTGCCTACCGCTACTGTCACGACAAGGACCGTGAGGACGGCAACAGAGAAATTTGAGAGCTTTCCTGACATATTGTAGCCACGTGGTGTTATGTGCCCGGAGTTAGGAGCAATAGAAGGGGGCTTGGCAAATTAGTTGCGGAAGGCTCGGTAGTAGGGCAAGAGATCGAGCATGCAGTTGGTGTTGTCGCGAAAGGTTGAAGCAGTTGATGTGGGATTCAAGCATTCTTGATGTACCAACTTTAAGATCGAAGCGTTTATTTACACCAACTGTCTTAAGATTTGTTTCCCGAGTTTCTTTGTTTGCTGCAATTCAATTAATTCAACTTCCTTACTTAAAGTCTTGTCCTGTCTTCGTGCTTGTTTTTCTTCTTAATAAAAGACTTACATTCTTGGTACTTGATATGTCTTTGAGTTTCTTTGAATCATTACTTTGGAGTGCTTATACTTTGTTAATGATCGCCTTGTAATTCAAAACTCAAGAATGGTTTGAAACTAACTTGAATATGGCTTTAAAATCAACTAGAAACCAATTGATCATGCAAATATTTTATGAATTCTAATGTCGTAAAATGCAAATGTCATATATATATATATATATATATATATATATATATATATATATATATATATATATATATATATATATATATATATATATATATATATATATATATATATATATATACACACCAAAAGAATGATTTTGTGTAAAAAAAAGTGTACTACAATAGCGTTTTGAAGAGAGAGTGCTATTAATGATACGTACTATAATAGCACTTTTATGAAAAATTGCTATCTAATATGTGTCTTATAATAGCGTTTTGTTTGAAAGTGCTATCAAAATTAAAGCAAATTACCGGTACTATAATAGCGCTTTGTTTGAAAGTGCTATCTAATATGTGTCTTATAATAGCGCTTTGTTTGAAAGTGCTATTAAATATGTGTCTTATAATAGCGCTTTATTTGAAAGTGCTATCAAACTTAAGCAAATTACCGGTACTATAATAGCGCTTTGTTTGAAAGTGCTATCTAATATGTGCCTTATAATAGCGGTTTTCGAAAAATGCAATTAAATGCCGGTACTATAATAGCGCTTTTGGAAAAACGCTATTAATTACCAGTACTATAATAGCGCTTTTAAAGCGCTATTAAAATTTTTTTTTTACAATAGCGGCTTGATTAATAGCGCTTTTAAGCGCTATCAAAAAGCAAAAAAAAACGCTATTAAATAGCTTTTTTGTAGTAGTGTTT